AGTTTCAGAGACTAGTTAGATCTCGGTATGGAAAACTGGACACCAAAAGCTCCTCTCAATCCTTCACACCTAGGTTCTACCCACCCAAGGCCAGTCGGCTGCAATGCACGTTTTAATAATCAACACTGACAAAGCAGTGCCAGCGTAGAAACTAACGTGTAGTTAGGGTTTAGGGTGAGGATTAGGGCTAAGGGTTAGGGTTAGAGGTTAGGATTTAGGGGTTAGAAGAATTTTAGGCAAATTTGAAAGAAGGAATGATTCATGAATCATGTCTGAAGCACCAGAATGAAAATTAGGGCTAGGGGCTTTGAGATCTTAGCAGTGGCACCTAAGTGAGGTTTCTCATTGGCTCCAGCTGGGCGACTGTTGGTTGGGGGGATGGTTCCCTCAGCGTCAATATTCATGCAGCCAACTGGCAGCTGGGCTTTTTGTCTATGACTCGTTGGTTTTTTAATGTTTTTAAGTCAGTTTACATGCCTCGATGTTCGGTTTACGTTTGCTTACACAAGACCTCAGGCTAACGGCTTCTTCCTTTTTTGCTTTAACATGTCAAAACCATAATTCATTTTCATTTTACTTTCCTGGCATTAATAGAAGTAAGTTTACATTTCTGTTGTCATTCAGGTCAGTTTAATTGGTAACCTATTTGTGATGTTGCATAAAATAATGTTTGTTAATTATTAGCATCTTAGAGTAGATGAAATATGTTAACTCTATTAAGCTTTGTTATTAAATTATAAGAGGAGTTCAGTTTCTTTTTTTTTCCTCCTGGGCTTTAACCATTTGAAATACACTCAAGCATCTCCTAACAATGTGGATACTTTCTGAGAAATATGTTCTTAGTCATTTCATCTTAGTGCCAGCTCCATCAAGTGTCCTTATAAAACCTGGATGGTGTAGCCCACTTCAGACCTAAGTGATAGGGTATAGCTTCTTGCTTTCAGGCTACATACCTGTATAGCTCATGTCTGTACTGAATGCTGTAGTCAAATGTCATACCATGGTGATTGGGGATTGTGATCCCAAAATATCTGAGTGAGGTCTCAGTCAGGTAGAAAGCTTATTTCGCCAAGGTTAAGGACATGCCCGTGACACAGCCTCAGAAGGTCCTCCAGATTTTCTAGAGAGTGAACCACACCACGAGAAAAAACTATGATGAATATGTTTACATGGATATGTTATTTTAACGTAAATCTTGTAAAATAGGCATTTCATTGAAATTATATATGTTTGCATAAATTACTTTGCAGCATCATGAATGCCCTTGTTTTGAAAAGTAGGAGTAGTTAGTGTCAATTACTACATATTATTAGTACAGATAATTAAGCAGATATTTGAAAAAATTTACTATTTTTAAATAAAGGTTTTATTTTAAATTAGTTTTAGATTCTCACTGAAATTGGAAGGAAAATGTAGATTTTCTGTGGAGACCCAAACTAGTCTCCGCTTGAATTAACATATCAACATATATCAGATATGTGATTAACATTTTTTTTTTGTTTTTGAGATGGAGTCTTGCTCTGTAACCCAGGTTGGAGTGCAATGGCATGTTACTGGCTCATTGCACCCTCTCCCTCCCATGTTTAAGCGATTCTCCTGCTTCAGCCTCCCATGTAGCTGGGATTACAGGTGCCCACCAGCACGTTTGGCTAATTTTCTGTATTTTCAGTAGAGATGGGGTTTCGTCATTTTGGCCAGGCTGGTCTTTAACTCCTGACCTCAGATTATTGACCCGTCTAAGCCTTCAAAAGTTCTGGGATGACAGCCATGAGCCACCATGCCCAGCCTACTATCTGTATATTTGCTATGGTCAGGTATCTGTTCAGATATTTACCCAGTTTTAAAATCACATATGTATTTTGTAGATATCTTTTCACATCTCTCTTTTTTGTTCCCTGAATACAGTTTTGCACAGTAGAATACTTAGTTTTATAAAGTCAGTGTTATCAATATATTAATGAATTGGGATTTGATGTTTTGTGTTACACCTCAACACCAAACCCAACGTCATATAGATTTTCTTTTAGGTATTATATAGTTTTGCATTAAAATCACAGTCTCTGCACTATTTAGAATAGGTTTTTGTTTTTTTTAATTCGTGTATATATTTATTTCATTCTACATGGCTTCTAAAGTCTTCCATCACTGTCTTTGGGAAGGAATGGCTTCAGTGGGCTTCATTTTGGTTTGTATTTCTAAAATTATTACATTGAGTAAACTCAATATTGAATTTTGTAGGTATTTCAGGACAGCCAGGTGGGGTTGCACATCCACTTAGAAATGGAGCAAGAGTGTCTGTGCTGTGCTCTGGAGTCACCAGAGGGTGCACGAACCCGCCCCTGACCAACTTCCTTCTGAGGTGCCAGAAGCAGCAAGGAGCTTTATCTTCCTCAGGGCAGCATGAAGGTCGTGTCAACTTGGCATTGTTCATTGGTGAGTAACAAACTTCCTGTCCAAAGCCTGAGTGCAGAGGAGAGAGTCCCTAGACAGTGCTCAGCAGAGGAAGGAATTCAGCTAGAAATACGAATCCCTCAAATCCACTGTTTTGACTACACTCTTTTTTTTCTTTTTTTTTGTGAGATGGAGTTTCGCTCTTGTTACCCAGGCTGGAGTGCAATGGCGCGATCTCGGCTCACCGCAACCTCCATCTCCTGGGTTCAAACAATTCTCCTGCCTCAGCCTCCCGAGTAGCTGGGACTACAGGCGTGTGCCACCATGCCCAGCTAATTTTTGTATTTTTAGTAGAGACGGGGATTCACCATGTTGACCAGGATGGTCTCGATCTCTTGACCTTGTGATCAACCCGCCTCGGCCTCCCAAAGTGCTGGGATTACAGGCTTGAGCCACCGCGCCCAGCTTGACTACACTCTTACCTTGTCAGTGTCCAAGACACAGTGGCTGCTAATAAATATTCTCACAGTGGTCTCTAATATAGTAATCACATCATGCCCTAACACCAATATAATATTCACACCATGCCCTAACACTAATATCCACATCATGCCATAACACTAATATATCCGCACAGTAGCTTCTAATACTAGTAAATACAATAATTTCTACTAAGTGGACTCTCTTGACATTGAGACTTTTATAAGGATTTCACAGCTTTGGTTGAACTATAGCCTTTATAATGGATTTTGATGAGGTCTTTGCTTTCCTGGCATGCTATTGATATGGTTGTTTTAAAAAGTAGTTTATTTTCCAATAATGTCATACTTCTAGGAATCTTTCAATAGCAGTACAAAGTATAACCTGTTTCTTCTCTTAGATTTTGCAGCACTTGTTGCTGTACCAGATTTACAATGTCCCAGAAAATACTTCAGTATATTTTATCCAAAGTACACTCTCCCAGGTAACCACCACATAACCCCTAGATCAGGAAATCATTATGGCTCCTACATGATAATTCAGTCTACACACTCATTTCATTTTTACCTTCTGCACCACCTAGGAGTATGATGTGTTTTTTCATTGTTCTGATCCAGTTTTCTTTTCCTTGCACTGTTCCCCAGACTTTCCTGAATATTTGTCACCTTGAAACACTTAAGGAGCATACAAGTTTTTGTTTGAAAGTCTGTCTTCAGTTTTTTGGAGTATATGATGAGGAATAAAATCATTGAGTCATACGGCAAATCTATTTGCAACTGTTTGAAGAAACACCAAATGATTTTACACATAGGCTCGACTGTTTAATACTGTCAGAAGCAGTGTTTAAGGGTTCAAGTTTCTGCACAACTTTGTCAACTCTTTTTTTTTTGTTTTTTAGTATAACTATTCTAGTTAGAAATTATTTGAATTTTATTTTATTTTATTTTATTTTATTTTTTTTGAGACAGAGTTTCACTCTTGTTACCCAGGCTGGAGTGCAATGGCGTGATCTCGGCTCACCGCAACCTCCACCTCCTAGGTTCAGGCAATTCTCCTGCCTCAGCCTCCTGAGTAGCTGGGATTACAGGCACACACCACAATGCCCAGCTAATTTTTTGTATTTTTAGTAGAGACGGGGTTTCACCATGTTGACAAGGATGGTCTCGATCTCTTGACCTCATGATCCACCCGCCTCGGCCTCCCAAAGTGCTGGGATTACAGGCGTGAGCCACCGCGCCCTGCCTTTGAACTTTTTTTTAGATGGAGTCTTTCTCTATGGCCCAGGCTGGAGTGCAGTAGCACCACCTCAGCTCACTGCGAACTTGACCTCCCGGGTTGAAGTGATCTTCCTACATCAGCTAGCTGAGGAGCTGGGATTACAGGCACATGTCATTATCCCTGGCTAATTTTTGTGTTTTCCGTACAGACAGATGTTCTTCATGATGGTCAGGCTGGTCTAGAACTGCTAACGTCAGGTGCTCTGCTCGCCTCGGCCTCCCAAATTGCTGGGATTACAGGCGTGAGCCACTGCACCCTGCCACTCCCAGGCATTTTGGTTTTCTTTCTGTTTTTGTTTTTCAGATGGAATCTTGCCATTGCTTACTGCAGCCTCCACCTCCTGGGTTCAAGCAGTTCTCTTTCCTCAGCCTCCCAAGTAGGTAGGATTACAAGTGCATGCTAGCAGGTCTGGGTAATTTTCTTATTTTTAGTAGAGACAGGGTTTTGCCATATTGGCCAAGCTGCTCTTGAACCCCTAACCTCAAGTGATCTGCATGCCTCAGCCTCCCAAAGTGCTGTGATTACGGGCGTGAATCACCGTGCCTGCCCCTTCTTTTTTGAGAAAGGGTCCTGTGCTGTTACCCAAGCTGGAGTGTAGGGTTGTGATCTTGGCTTACTGTGACCTCCACATTGTGGGCTCAAGCTGTCCTCTCGTTTTGGCCCCCTAAGTAGCTGGGAATATAGGTGTGTGTACCATGAACTCGCTAATTTTTGTATTTCCAATAGAGATGTGGATTTACCATGCCGTCCTTGCTGGTCTTGAACTCCTGGAGTCACGTGATGCACCTGCCTCAGCTTCCCCATGTGCTGGGATTACAGGCATCAACTGCTGTGCCCAGGCAGTTTTTAAGTTTTTGAGGAATTACCAAACTATGTTAAACACAGGATGCACCATTTCGGTTCCCTGTACAGTATTTAAGGGTTGTGATTTCTCTCTGACCTTGCCAACACTTCTTTTTTTTTTTTTTTTTGAGACGGAGTTTCGCTCTTATTACCCAGGCTGGAGTGCAATGGCGTGATCTCGGCTCACCGCAACCTCCGCCTCCTGGGTTCAGGCAATTCTCCTGCCTCAGCCTCCTGAGTAGCTGGGATTACAGGCACGCGCCACCAGGCCCAGCTGATTTTTTGTATTTTTAGTAGAGATGGGGTTTCACCATGTTGACCAGGATGGTCTCGATCTCTTGACCTCATGATCCACCCGCCTCGGCCTCCCACAGGCTGGGATTACAGGCTTGAGCCACCGCGCCCGGCCTGCCAACACTTCTTAATTTACATTTCTTTTATTATAGCCTTTCTAATGTGTGTGAGGGAGTATGTCGTGGATTCAGATTAGATGGCCATAATGATAATGATACTGATCATCTTTTTATGTGTATGTCATTGTGAATGACATTGAGTATGACATTAAGTATGTCATTCAGTTTAGATGGCCATAATGATAATGATATTATTCATCTTTTTAATGCCTGTTTTCCATTTGGATGTCTTATTGTCGGAGTGTATGTTTAGCTGTTTCTCCATTTTGTAATTTTTGTTGTTGAGTTATACAAATTATACATTGTGGTTAACAGACTGTTGGATATGTAATGCACAAATATTTTTTTCCTCTCTGTGGGTTCTGTTTCCACTTTTTTTTTTTTTTTTTTGAAATGGACGGACTCTTGCTCTGTTTTCCAGGCTGGAGTGCAGGGGTGTGATCTCGGCTCACGGCAACCTCTACCTCCTGGATTCAAATGAGTCTCCTGCTTCAGCCTCCCAAGTAGCTGAGATTACAGTTGACCACTACCATGCCCAGATAATCTTTTGTATTTAATTTATTTTTCAGACGAAGTCTTGCTCTGTCATCCAGGCAGGAGTGTAGTAGAACCATCTCGGCTCACTGCAAACTTCACCTCCCGGGTTGAAGTGATCTTCCTACCTCAGCCAGCTGAGAAGCTGGGATTACAGGCACATGTCACTATGCCCGTGTAATTTTTGTATTTTCAGTAGAGACACGTATTCTTCCTGTTGGTCAGCCTGGTCTAGAACTGCTAACGTCAGGCGCTCTGCTCACCTCAGCCTCCCAAATTCCTGGGATAACAGGCGCGTGAGACCCTGCACCCTGCCACCCGCAGCCATTTTGGTTTTCTTTCCTTTTTTCTTTTTCAGATGGGGTCTTTCTGTGTCAACCAGGCTGGAGTGCAATAGCTCCATATCAGCTTAGTGCATCCTCCACCTCCTGGTTTCAAACAGTTTTCCTGCCTCAGCCTCTCAAGTAGCTGGGATTCCAAGTGCATGGTAGTAAGCCCCAGTAATTTCCATATTTTTAGTAGAGACGGGGTTTTGCCATATTGGCCAAGCTGCTCTTGAACTCCTAACGTTAAATGATTTGTCTCTCAGCCTCCCTATGTGCTGGAATTACAGGTGTGTACCACCATACCCGTGCTTTCTTTTTTGACACAGGGTTCTGTGCTGTCGCCCAAGGTGGAGTGCAGGGTTGTGATCATGGCTTACCGTGACCTCCACATTGCGGGCTCAAGCAGCTCTCCCGTTTCGGCCTCACAAGTAGCTGGGACTACAGTTGTGTGCCACCCTGAACTGGCTAATTTTTGTATTTCCAGTAGAGAGGGGGTTTTGCTATGTCGTCCTTGCTGGTCTAGAACTCCTGGAGTCACGTGATGCACCTGCCTTGGCCTCCCCATGTGCTGGGATTACAGGCGTTAACTGATGTGCCCAGCCAGTTTTCTTTTCTTTTTGAGGAATTACCAAATTATGTTAAACATAGGATGCACCATTTCTGCTCTGTGTACAGTATTTAAGGGTTGTGATTTCTCTCTGACCTTGCCAACACTTGTTAATTTACATTTCTTGGATTACAGCCTTTCTAGTGTGTGTGAGGGAGTATGTTGTGGTTTCAGTTTAGATGGCCATAATGATAATGATGCTGATCATCTTTTTATGTGCTTGTTTTCCATGTGCATGTATTCTTGGCAAAGTGTGTGTATGTCATTGTGTATGACATAGAGTATGACATTGAGTATGTCATTCAGTTTAGATGGCCATAATGATAATGATATTATTCATCTTTTATGTGCCTGTTTTCCATTTGGATATCTTATTGGCAGAGTGTATGTTCAACTGTTTCTGCATTTTGTAATTTTTGTTGTTGAGTTATACAAATTATACATTGTGGTTAACAGACTGTTAGATATGTAATGCACAAATATTTTCTTCCTTTCTGTGGGTTCTGTTTTCACTTTTTTTTTTTTGAGATGGACGTACTCTTGCTCTGTTTCCCAGGCTGGAGTGCAGTGCTGTGATCTCGGCTCATGCCAACTTCTAACTCCTGGTTTCAAATGATTCTCCTGCCTCAGCCTCCCAAGTAGCTGAGACTACAGTCTCCCACTACCATGCCCAGCTAATTTTCTGTATTTATTTGTTGATTTTTGAGACAGTGTGTTGCTCTCTAACACAGGCTGGAGTGCAGTAGTACAATATCGGCTCATTGTAACTTCCACCTTCCAGGTTCAAGCGATTCTTCTCCCTGAGCATCCTAACTAGCTGGGATTACAGGCCTGTGCCACCACGCCTGGCAAATTTTTTGTATTTTTCATAGAGATGGTGTTTCTCCACAATGGTCATGCTGGTCTCAAACTCTCAACCTCAGTTGATCTGCTTGCCTCAACTTCCCATAGAGCTGGGATTACAGGTTTGAGCCACTGCACCTGCCACTCCTAGGTATTTTGGTTTTCTTTCTTTTTTATTTTGAGATGGGTCTTGCTCTGTCGGCCAGGCTGCAGTGCAGTGGCCTGATAACTGCTCACTGGAACCTCTGCCTCCTGGTTTCAAACGATTCTCCTGTCTTAGCCTCCCAAGTAGCTGAGGTTACAGTCTCCCACTACCATGCCTAGCTAATCTTTTGTATTTATTTATTTATTTTTGAGACGGAGTCTTGCTTTGTCACCCTGGCTGGAGTGCAGTAGCATCACCTCAGCTCAATGCAAACTTCACCTCCAAGATTGAAGTGATCTTCCTGCCTCAGCCAGTTGAAGACCTGGGATTACAGGCACATGCCACTATGCCCGGGTAATTTTTGTATTTTCAGTAGAGACACGTATTCTTCATGTTGGTCAGGCTGGTCTCGGACTGCTAACATCAGGCGCTCTGCTTGCTTCAGCCTGCCAAATTCCTGGGATAACAGTCATGAGCCACTGCACCCTGCCACTCCCAGGCATTTTGGTTTTCATTCCTTTTATCTTTTTCAGATGGGATCTTGCTGTGTCAGCCAGGCTGGAGTCCAGAGGCTCAATGTCGGCTTAGTGCATCCTCCACCTCCTGGGTTCAAGCAGTTTTCCTGCCTCAGCCTCCCAAGTAGCTGGGATTCCAAGTGCATGTTAGCAGGACCGGGTAATTTTCTTAATTTTAGTAGAGACTGGGGTTTCCCATATTGGCCAAGCTGCTCTTGAACTCCTAACCTCAAGTGATCTGTCTGCCTCGGCTTTCCAAAGTGCTGGGATTATGGGAGTGAACCACAATGACAGCCCCTTCTTTTTTGAGATAGGGTCCCATTCTGTCGCCCAAGCTGGAGTGTAGGGTTGTGATCTTGGCTTACTGTGACCTCCACATTGTGGGCTAAAGCAGTCCTCCCGTTTCAGCCTCCCAAGTAGCTGGGACTACTGGTGTGTGCCACCATGAACTGGCTAATATTTGTATTTGCAGTAGAGAGGTAGTTTGCTATGTCGTCCTTGCTGGCCTTGAACTGCTGGAGTCACGTGATGCACCTGCCTCGGTTCCCCATGTGCTGGTATTACAGGCATCAACTGATGTGCCCAGCCAGTTTTTTTCTTTTAGAGGATTTACCAAACTATATCAAACACAGGATGCATCATTTCTGTTGCCCATACAGTATTTAATGGTTGTGATTTCTCTCCGACCTTGCCAACACTTGTTAGTTTGCATTTCTTGGATTATAGCCCTTCCAGTGTGTGTGATGGAGTATGTCATGGTTTCAGTTTAGGTGGCCTGATGATAATGATACTGATCATCTTTTTATGTACTTGTTTTCCACTTGCATGTATTATTGGCAAATTGTGTGTATGTCAATGTGTATGACATTGTGTATGGCATTGAGTATGACATTGCATATGTCATTCAGTTTAGATGGCCATAATGATAATGATATTATTCATCTTTTATGTGCCTGTTTTCCATTTGGATATCTTTTGGTGGAGTGTATGTTTAGCTGTTTCCATTTTGTAATTTTTCTTGTTGAGTTATACAAATTATACATTGTGGTTAACAGACTGTTAGATATGTAATGCACAAATATTTTCTGCCTCTCTGTGGGTTGTGTTTTCACTTTTTTTCTTTTCTTTTTTTTTTTTTTTTGAGATGGACGGACTCTTGCTCTGTTTTCCAGGCTGGAGGGCAGTGGTATGATCTCGGCTCACGGCAATGTCTACCTCCTGGTTTCAGATGATTCTCCTGCCTCAGCCTCCTAAGTAGCTGGGATTACAGGTGCATGTTGCCATGCCTGACTAATTTTCATGTTTTTAGTAGAGATGGGGTTTCACCATGTTGGGCAAGCTGGTCTCAAACTCCTGACCTCAAGTGATCCATCTGCTTCTGTCTCCCAAAATGCAGGGATTACAGGCATGAGCTACCATGCTCCGCCTTTCTTTTTTGATACATGGTATTGTGCCATCTCCCACGCTCGTGTGCAATGGTGTGATCTGGGCTTACTGCAACCTCCACATTCTGGGCTCAAGCAATCCCCCTGTCTCAGCCTCTCAAGTAGCTGTGACTACAGGTGTGTGCCACCATGCCCTGCTAATTTTTGTATTTTTACTTGAAATGGGGTTTTGCTATGTCGTCCTGGCTGGTCTTGAACTCCTGGATTCACGTGATCCACCTGTCTCTGCCTCCCAATGTGCTGTGATTGCAGGCATTAGCTACTGTGCCAGGACTATTTTTCACTTGTGGCTAAATGCAAAACTATGTTAAAAATAGGCTGCACCATTTTATATTCACATATGGTATTTAAGGATGTTGATTTCTCTGTGACCTTGCTAACACTTGTTATTTTATATTTCTTTGGATTATAGCCTTCTGAGTGTGTGTTAAAGGAGTTTATCATTGTGGTTTCCATGTAGATTGCCATAATGAGAATGATATTTATTATCCTGTTATGTGCTTGTTTTCCATTTTCATGTCGTATTGTTGAAATGTGTGTTCAACTGTTTTTAGATTTTGTAATTTGCTTGTTTTTGTTGTTGAGTCAGACAAAATATACACTGTGGTTAACAGACAGTTGTTAGGTATATAATGCACTGTGTGTTATCTTTTCACTTTCTTTTTTTAATTTGAGATCGAGTCGTGCTCTTTTGCCCAGGCTAGAATGCAGTGGTGCAATCTCGGCTCACTGCAACCTCCCAGTCTTGAGTTCACATGACTTTTGTGTCTTACCTTTCGAGTAGCTGAGATTATAGCCTCCTGTTAACATGCCCAGCTAAGTTTTTGTATTTTTAATTTTTCTTTTGTAGACGGAGTCTTGCTCTGACAGCCAGGCCTGGAGTGTAGTAGCACAATCTTGGCTTACTGCAACTTCCACCACGCCCAGTTCATTTTTGTACTTTCAGTAGAGATGAGGATTCTCCATGTTGGTAAGGCTGGTCTTGAACTCCTAACCTGAGGTACGTGCTTGTCTCAGTCTCCCAAAGTGCTGGATTATAGGCGTGAGCCACTATAGTCCTCTAGTCCCAGGCATTTTGGTTTTCTTTTCCTTCTTTCTTTCTTTTTTATTTTTGATGTGGGATCTTGCCTCTGTTGGCCAGGCTGGAGTGCAGTGGCCTGATATCAGCTCACTGGAACCTCAGTCTCTCGGGTTCAAGCAATTCTCCTGCCTCAGCCTCTGAAGTAGCTGGGATTACAGGTGCATGCCACCACACCTGGTTAATTTTCATGTTTTTGGTAGAGACCATGTTTTGCCACGTTGGCCAAGGTGGTCTTTAACTGCTGACTTCAAGCAATCCTTCTGCCTCCACCTCTCAAAGTGCTGGGATTACTGGAGTGTATCACCATGTCTGGCCTTTCCATTTTGAGATGAGATCTTGTGCAGTCTCCTAGGCTGCAGTGCAGTGGTGTGATCTCAGCTTACTGCAGCCTCCACATTCTGGGCTCAAGTAATCCTCCTCTCTCAGCCTCCCATGTAGCTGGCAGTACAGGTGTGTGCCAGCATGCCAGGCTAATTTTTGTATTTCTAGTAGAGATTGGATTTTGCTGTGTCATCCTGGCTGGTTTTTAACTCCCGGACTCACATGATCCACCTGTCTCGGTCTACCAGTGTGCTTTGATTATAGGCATTAGCTATCGTGTCAGGCGTATTTTTAACTTTTTGAGGAAACAAGAAACTGTTAAAAATAGTCTGGACTAGAGAAATGCAAATCAAAACTACATTGAGATACCATCTCATGCTGGTTAGAATGGCAATTGTTAAAAAATCTAGAGACGACAGATGTTGGAGTGGATGTGGAGAAATAGGAACACTTTTACACTGTTGGTGGGAGTGCAAATTAGTTCAACCATTGTGGAAGACAGTGTGCCAATTCCCGACGCACCTAGAAATAGAAATTCCATTTGACCAAGCAATCCCACTACTGGCTATATATCCAAAGGATTATAAATCGTTCTATTATAAGGACACATGCACACGAATGTACATTGCAGCACTGTTTACAATAACAAAGACTTGGAACCAACCCAAATGCCCATCGACGATAGACTGTACAGGGAAAGTGTGGCACATATACACCATGGAATACTATGCAGCCATATAAATCGATGAGTTCGTGTCCTTTGTAGGGACATGGATGAACCTGGAAACCATAAA